AATTCCTCTACCCGCTCTCTCCTAAAAATATATACAGTGTTAAGACTGTGTATTTTAAACATTTGTATTTAAACATGTAAGTGCTAATATATAACACTGTATTTTTTTAGGTACTTTTTTCAGGTGGAGGAGAGGCTGCCTGTAAATGTTTCTGAAAGAGAAAATCAAATAATTACAATCACGAAAATACATACTCTCTACCACAACGGGGACCATCTGACAGATTTGAGAAAGGGATACAGCTGTAACATTTTATTGATTTTTGTCATCCTTCAGTCACTTGATAAATATTTGAAGCATCTACCATGTGCCAAACACTATTCTAGTTTTCATAGAGTTTATATTTTAATTAGAGGAAGCCGATGATTAATGTGCAGAGAAGCAAATAAATAATGCAGTGTTAGCTAGTAATAAGTGCTACGAAGAAACAAGAACAGTGTGATGAACTATAGAGAGATCGCCCCGTGAGGTAAGATCAGGATAAAGGTTGCCTGTCAGTGGCATTTGAGCTGAAATTAGTGGAACCAGCAAGTGCAAAGTCTCCGAGGAAAGAAAGAGCCTCCTGCGGTCACCGGACAGAACGAGGTTCAGAGAGAGAAGGGCACGTGGGAGTTTGCTGTGTGCGCTGTCAGGGTTAAGATATTGCAGTTCAGAATTCCCATTCCCAGGCCCCAGAAGAGGTAGTTTTCCAATCTACAAGGTAGAGGCTGACCTTGCATTGGTGCTGTACCATACATAGCAGTTTCTTGTCTCCAGTGGCTATTCAACCTACCTGCTCTCCTGCTAATTGCCATTTCACCTTAGAAACTAAATGAGTGGGTGTGCATGGAATTACCATTTAGGAAAGAGAACAATAAATAAGTAGAATCAATAAAGACCCATATTCCTGAGCATATTAACAGAGTTGAAGCTGAACTGAGTCTAAAACTTACTATAGCTCATTGCTCAAATAAAATTCTGTTACATGGCATAACTTATTATTAGAAATTTTAAATATAATAGTTTGTTCATGCATGTATACTTCTTAGGGCACATGTGCATTTAAGTACTACTAGAATAGAATTTAGAGAATTTACAAGTATAGATCCCACCCAATAATCTTCCTTATTAATAAGGGAGCTGGGGTTTGTGTTAGATGCCTGTCTCTTGCATTCTTGAAGCATCTTCCTTCCTTCACTGAAGAACTGCCACAGTGCATTGTAATTTCAGGAGGGAGGGATCATGTCTATTTCATCTATTGCTGTACTATGAGTGCCTGTCACTGTTGTCACTGTTATGATACATAGTAGATGTTTATTTTAATTAATGTGATCACTTAGTCTATATTGCCCTTGAGATGACCTGAAGATCATTCCCACTTATGACACGTTAATGTTGCATACATCAAAATGTTTTAATGTATGAATAGATTGAATCAGAGCACTTAATGCATAGTTCATTTCTTTAGGATTTGAAACACATACCCCATAAAGACAACGGTGAACTATGCATGTATAGATGACTCCAGCAACTGAGTACTTAATTTTAATTGAAATAGACTACTGTGGGGCTGCCTGAGGACCACACTTATAAAAACAGAAAGAAAGAAAAGAACACACTGGGTTTTTGTGGGTATAACCTGTTTCTCAGCATAAAAGAGTGCCAATTCTTTGACCTCCTTGTGTCCATGTCCCTACCTGGGGTAAGCCTCAAAATCCATTGATCTCTATGCCATAACAGGAAAGGCTTATGGAAAAGTCATTCAGGGACCGCGTAACATGTTGGTGGAGACAGGGTGGGAAGGACGGAAATAGAGTTGTAGAGAAGAAAGACTGAGCCTCTCCAGTCAGCTTGGGTCCTTGGTTTAGGACAAATTTTTCAAACTAAAGAGTGTTTATAAATGGATGATCATTTGGCCAATGTTATGGACTGAATGGTGTCCCCTCGAAATTCATATGTTGAAGCCCTAACCCCTAATGTGGCTGTATTTGGAGACAGGGCCTTTAAGGAGGTAATTAAGGTTAAGTGAGTTCATATGGGTGGGCCCTAATCAGATAGTTCCAGTGTCATTACAAGAACAGTAAGAGACACAGGAGTGCGCTCACATCCTCTCTCTCCTTCTCTGCCTCTCTAGTTCTCTCCGTTCATCATGTCAGGACACAGTGAGAAGGCAGCTATCTGCAAGCCAGGATGAGATCCTTCACCGGAATAAACCCTGAAAGAACCTTGATCTTGGACTTCTGGTCTCCAGAACTGTGAGAAATAAACTTCTGTTGTTGAAGCCACGCAGGCTGTGGTGCTTTAATATGGCAGCCCTAGCTGACCAATACATCCAGTATCTAATTTTAAGAATAAAAGCACGTAACATGAGTTTATACTTGTGTAGTACTTTATGATATGCAAGGTATTTTCATTTACCTTATACAATTTTTCCAAAAACCATGCAAAATGGGAATAATTTACAGATGCAACATTGGCATAAATAACTACAGCTGAGAGAGTTCACTTACCTTATCCAAGCCAAACATAAACCCAGACTTTTAAAATTCTAATTCATTCATTAAAAAAAATTACTACTACCAAAATTGAATGCATTTACTCCCGTGTTTCCTTTGTCAAAGAGAGGAAAAATTATAATTGTTCAGTCTGCCTTTTTACCTTTTTAAAATTTTTATTATTTTTTAAAATTATCACATAACTACATTAACCTGATTCTGCTTCAGATGCTAGAAAGCAATCTCTATCTCTCTGTCTTAGGGAAGATTACTGTTAAATAAATCATTTACTTAAGCACATTTCTGGGGAGTATTCGCACACATGTCTTCCAGAAAACTTTCTCTTTAATAATTTGCAAGGTGACTTTTCCAAGTTACTCAAAAGAACTCAATTCAGTAAGTGTATCCCAAGTCATGGGCGGGACCCATGAAATGAGATATAGTTATGTCCCAGTCAGGGGAATAGGGCCAAAGCCTCCTTCTCTGCTGTATGGCAAAATACTGCCTGCTATGTTCAACTGGGAAACACCCGGTCCTTCTCAGAAGTCCAAGGACAACTGTGTGTGTGTGTGTGTGTGTGTGTCTGTACAATTGAATGCTGACTCATCTGCCATCTCTCACCAACTCTACGACAGTCTCAGGTCTCCCTTCCTTCCCTCTTGTCCCTTTACCATTTATGCATCAGTCAGCAGCCAGGGCATTTCTTCAGTCATGTCCCCCCTCTTTGTCCAGTGTCCTCTGATGGCTGTCCTCTGGGATGAGAATAGCACTCTCTGTC